ATATATATATATATATATGTATGTATGTATGTATGTATGTATAAAGAGAGAGAGAGGAGGGATCCGTTTACTTCGAGAATAAAGTCTACCTAGACTTACTTCGTTCAATAACTCATGTTCTACAATAAATTTTAATAATATCTAACTGTTGAATTTACAATTCTTAATACATAGATCAAGTCTACAAATTGTTAAAAAAATTTGTAGATTTGATCTTTACATTAATAACTTTAAATTCAACGGTTGGATCGTTAAAATTTGATGTAGCACTTGAATTATTGAATGAAGTAAGTCTACTTAAGCTTACTCCTGAAATAAACGGGTTCTATCTAGAATAAACACATTCCTCCTTAACCCAACTTTGATTTAAACATTATCCATTAAAGGGTTTTCCAATGTTTTTCCCTTAAAATAACATATTGGTGGCGGCTCCATTGAAAAATAAATGTTAGCGTCATCCCGTCGTGATCCTGGTTACGACACCAAGGTCATGTCTGTAGCATCTCTTGCCCAAGGTCGTGCCACCCCCGACATAAGTATTAATTGTCTCACACATCCCACCCTATGCCAAGGTCACGCCTGTAGCATCTCTTGTCCAAGGTCGTGCCACCCTCGATATAAGCATGATAAATCACACATCCTACACTATGCCAATGTCACGTCTGTAGCATCTTTTGCCCAAGGTCGTGCCACCCCCGACATAAGCATGAGGAATCACCCATCTCATACTATGCCAAGGTCACGCTTGTAGCATCTCTTTCCCAAGGTCGTGCCACCCCTAGTCATAGTGTGAGGAACCACAATCACAATCACCTTCACATTCACATTCACACTCACATTCACATTCACATTCACATACACATTCACATACACATACACATTCCATAACTCAATTCCACAACACATACACAAAATCCATACAAAATTGTGGTTCACATACTCCTCAAGCAATTAACCATGAATCCTCATCTAGATTATCAATTTTTACCATATAATATAATAATAATATATATAAATTAATATAATACTCCATTGAATCACCAATTTACTAAATCTTAACTCGAATAGTAAAACCCCAATTTTTCCAAAATTTAACTCACAAGCGCTTTTCTACGATGTCATTCTCTCTCCTAAAGCATTATTTTTACAAATTAATCATATATTCATAATCCTAAACACATACAGAATCTCATAATACCAATAATTCTCCAAATAGAAATAATTATAAAATTACTCATAATCCTACGAGCTTCCTCTTCTACCCAATTCCCTCATGTAACTTTGCATACAAATAATCCCCTTTTCCCTCATACCTTGATAAACGGTAGCTGAAACTAGAGCAGGATCTGGTTGGTCTCTTCCTCTAGGTTCCCTTCGGTCTTCAGATAGTGTAGAAGAAAATAAGAGAATGTAGAAGAAAAGAAGTCAGAACTGAAAAGTTTGCTTTTTGGGAGTGCCAGAGCGCTTTATTTATAGACATCAGGAGTGGCTGAAACGACACGTTTCAAATCCAGAACAACCCGTTCTGGACTCTTCGTCATGTGTAAAATTTCACATCTAGAACGGGCCGTTCTCAAACCAGAACGGCTCGTTCTGGGGTTACATTTTAACCCATAATGGCCATATATTTGGAATGGCTCATTCTTAAACCAGAACGGCCCGTTCCCAACTAGGGTTACAAGCCTTTTTGGTAATTTGGAACGCACCGTTCCAATTTGGGAACGCCTCGTTCTCAACTAAGATTTGTAGGTAATTTTAGTATTTTGGAACAGCTCGTTCCATTTCGGGAACGACCTGTTCTGAGATACTAAATCACCCTCGTTTTAGTAGTTTGGAACGACCCTTTCCAATTTGGGAACGATCCATTTTGGGCTACTAAATCACCTCTATTAGGCTTTGGGCCCTCATATAATCTGTGAAAATCGGGCTGTTACATGCACTATCTTTGCAAAGATACAAGTATTTTTCCACTTTTGACTCAACTTAAATATTCTTTGATTTATCTTTTCAAGCAACTACTCAAGTATTCTTTGAACAATGAAGTCTCTTTAGGCTTCAACAACCAAGTATTCTTTATAACAAAGTCGCTTCGAGCTTCAAGCTTTAACCCAAAGTCAAAGTTGGAAATCCATAGTTGTTTTGTCTTACTTATAAGATATAACAACACCTAAGTATAAGGATTTTTACATAATTTACAATGAATATCTATATGTATCTCTCTATTAATTTTGAATCTTCAAGCTTTTTTATATAGGTGTTTTAAAAAGATGATCATTAGGGATCCTTGAACTTCTCTCTTAAGCTCGTTTTGTCTTTCTTCGTCTTCCTTCCTTGTGGAATAAGATGTTCTTCGGTGCATTAAATGCAAGTATTAAATACATTTCACTAAATTATCATTTCTTATCAATTCAAAGAGATTACTTATCACCTTTAAGGTACAAAATGGGAGGAAATGTTGAGTGTGCTAGTTCAAAATGACTTTATTTGAAACTTTGCATGCTTTGAGATATCTGTTATTCCTTTTCTCTAAAGAAAAGCAATCTACGTTCCCTTTTGAATTTCAAGTACCAAATAAGTTTTTATTCCTTTGAACTGTTAAGAAACATCATGGACACGAATGATTTTCTTATCAAACATCATAAATGATATATTTAATGCATTCATCTTAGATAAACAAAGTAGTTCATTTGAAAAATTACACGTCATCATAACCAATCGTTTTTCTAATTCATCTTTCTTATATGATCAAAAAAACAATTCAAGTTTGATGACATTTAAACTCATATTTATGAGGGATTTAAGATCGTTCTTTGATCTAATAGAGATGGCAGATGAGGAAGCAAAAACAAGTCAAGTCGTAGATGAAGAAGCAAAAACAGCTTGAACACATGGTTAGTGAAGTGAGTCAATTTAAAGGAGTGAACGATAACAACCTGAAGATCTCTTGGTTACGATTATTAAAAATTCTCATCTAGATCATCCACATTCCTCTTCATGATTCGTTCTATGTCTCATAATTGATGTAACAACTTGCTATGATCACTATACTATATGGAATCATTACTAGCTAGCAGCGAAAACTAGATTACTAGAATATTCCAAATTAAAGGAAGGAATACATCATGCATATATAGAGAAAAAGAATATAAAAGTAAAACATTGGTACTGATATAGATAAGTTATATATATGTATATAGTAATCCCAAAATAATCATGTGTCCTAATGTTGGTCGAGCGCAAGTATACAAGCTACATCAAGTAGCATCGATACCAACAAAAGGTCACACCATTTATCAATAACCGCCCCTCAAGCCTAACTTTGATCTGCTCTCATACAACATATGATAATCGCAGTCCAAACCATAATGGAAACAGCAAAGGTAGGCAAGAGTTCAAAAATATGTAAACAGAGAAAATAATTTTATATCATACAACGATGTCGGGGTCCTGGAGGACGGCCTCGTAGGAGCCGTAGACCTTGGCGGCGGCGGGGAAGTCGTTGGTGGCGGCGAAGGCGCGCGCCTTGCAGGGCGACGTTGGGGGCGAGGGCGACGGCGCGTGAGACCTTGCGCGCGTTTGATGAGAAATATTTACTTAGGTGAAATTCAATTAAAGATAAACATTTGATGCGAGTTTGGATAAATGTTTTCAATGTTTGGGTTCTTAATTCTTCACGTCAATTTGTAAGATTGATGCAAAAGATAGAGATTTTTCTAAATAAATAAATAAATTTAACTATGTTATGAAAAACATCACTAGGATTATATATTGTAAAACCCAAATGAGTATTTTTCTTGGCTAATATCAATTTTACTAGAAAAACTCGGTAAATATTATATATTGTCTTTTTCTTTATTATTATTATTATTATTTATTTTTATAAAAATAATAGCATATTATACTGATAATATTTTTAAGACAATAGGATTTATCTACGCCTTTATTCTTATATTATAAACTATAATCTTCAACTTGACGAGTGAAACTCTCACTCTTCTCACTTCCTCAATTAGACTTTTTGAACACTTAGCAAAATAAATGATCTCTTTCAATGCCTCAAGGTCAAAATATTTCCTTTTAAACTTATTTAAATAGTTGATTTTCTTAATTATTTATTCATTTTAATTTAAAAATAACCCTGTATATCACAATTTTAAGTATTTGTTGTAAATTTAAAATGTAATATATATACACATGCATATCAATATATATAATTTTGAATTATTATAATTTTAATTATATAAAAGTAAATATTTATCCGATGCAATAGACAAACTAAAATACTTAGCATATACTCAAAATAAGAATAATTAGAAAAACGTAGTTTAAATTAAAAAATAACAAGAATCACTTTAGTTTAAAATAAAATTAATTTTAATGTATAGAAACATATTCATAATAACAAAAATTTATATTTGAAAACATTATAAAATCTTAAAAAACTAATCTCACTCTCAGCCACAGGTTGTTCTGTGTGAAGATTAGTGCATAATGAGAAAAAGAAAGAGAATATAAAAAGTGAGTTAGTTGAGAAAAAGAAGAGAAAAGAGGGAAGATTGTGACTCTCACTCAATGTGCATGTACTCAAATTTATAATATAGTAGTTATACATTAATGACATGCATGCATCAATAAAAAAATTATAGATGTACTTGCCCTCAAAATTGGAAAAGGACTTCCTTTTTATTTATTTTAATCCATCTCTTTTGAGATAAAATTTGCTGTCCAAAACCCAAAACAGAAATGGTGTCTTATTATGATAGGAGCATGTATAAATCAAAATTTCATTTCTGTCAAAGCTCGTCACCAATCTTGATAGATGATATATACAAACTTTCAAGCATAAACATATTAATTCAAGCTTCCCTTCTAGTAAGAAAAAAAATTTCATACTTAAGGATTACATTATTAATCGACATAACCACATTATTTTACCGAATTAGCAAGTATTGGATCTACACCCCCAATCACATATCACTACTACCAAATGACTAATGAGTACAACTGGTGAGAACCAAAAAGTAGAAATGCTCTGAGTAAAACACAGAAAACAAAATTGATTTGTGGATACCACAAATCTATTTGAAAAGTAAAGAGAGAGAAAAAAGAGAGAAATTAAGTCTGATAGGTGTGACATTGATATATGATATGATAAGAATACAAAGAAAGAGAGAAATTAAGAGTGTTAATGACTTGTTTGAATGATACAGTGATCACAATATCATTATTCACAAAGCATTTATAACTACTTGCATGAATTGGAAGCAATGTGGAAATTCAATTTCAAGATGCAAATTTTTGCTCAGAGTCAGTGACTCGTGTGGCATAGTATCTAGCAATGAAATCAGAAGCTTTTCTGTCAATGCCAGGCTCTGCAACCCAATGTGCTCTGTCTTCATCACTTGCAAAAATCCTTCTTCCACTTCCACTACCTTCCCAATACTCATCATACCTATTCCCACTTGAAAAACATGACTTGAACATGTTGTAAAATGAGTTAGTAGATGACCTCTTAGCTCCCATTTTCTCTTTTTAATGATTTTCAAGTGTCACTCTCAACACTCAAACAACCCTTTCTAATAAGCTTGTGTTTGTTTTGTTATGAGTGGTTGCTTATCTCTTAGTTGTAGGTACAATATGCATGGAGCTGTTTGTATTTATAGTGTGGCAAGTCACATGGTTATATTATACTGTCATCTATTGTTCAGATTTTGTGATTTAAAAGGAGGATAAGGATTCCCTCAAAATCACTGATAACTGATAAGAATAGTTATATCATATATATGATTGTGAAACACGATAGAAGCATAAGCGTTCTCATCCTCTACTTTTGATTTGTCATGCAATAATAGTACTTCTCCCCTAGCTAGCTATGGCAAACACTATTCCACTTTTTGCTTTTTTGGTATTTGCCATTACCATTTTCTTTCCATAGATGCTAGATGCCTTCTCTCTTCTTATATAAATAAGGCCTACAGAATTAAAGTAGTGCAATATAAACTAACAATCCAAGCTAATTTTTTTTTTTTTCAATTGGACCTCGTTTATTTCAATTTGTTAAAGGGATTTAATGGTGATATATAGTTCATGCAAAAAATTGTATGGTATCAACCAGAAATCATATATAATATTTATTGTATGACGGTGTAAACTGCATCACATTGTAGGTGTATAAACTTTTCTAACTTAATAAATGCTTAATTGTTGTAAATAAGTTGGAATTTTAGATACTTTGACATTGTACAATTTACAAGAAATGACAAGTTAATTTCATTTTTTTTTTTAGTTTCGCACCGTTGTCTTATATTAATTTGATTTGATTGAAAGATAAGTAAAGTCTGATAAAAAAAATATTTTTATTGAAGATCAAATTAGAGTACTGTATGAACGATTTAACAATGAATTCAACACATTAATCAATTATGCTTAACTCCTTCATTCATTTAATGATATAGTTCTTCAAAATGATGAAATTTTAAATAAGGTTGAGAGCATGTTTCATTTTGTCCATGCTTCCATTTGAGTCGTTTGCTTCCATAGCATATCCAACTAATAATCTTACATGGGTTCTATACCAGGTGTACAATAGCTTGCTACTGCAGTGACCATGTCAACTTCTTATGCATGAACATTTGTAGGGGCACTTGACTAGGCCTTCTTGATTTTCACCATGAATCAATTCCTCACACTCACATTGTACACATGTTCCAATGTAATATTTGAGACTAAGATTAATTTGTGAATACATTCAACAGTTCAAAATCAAGACTTCTATCAAAATTAATTTTACATATCTTAAAAACAAACGGACAATATATAAACAAAAAGTCTGCAGCAAATGAATAAAATGTCTTGAGTACTCTACATTCTCACGATAGTAGCAAGCAACGAGCAAGTTATCATAGCCTTTAGTGATCACTGATCAGTGGATTCTAATTTCGTTAACAAAGTAAAAGTGTATTTGAAGCGCCCTTTTAAGAAACAATTTAAGTTTTTTTTTAATATATTTTTTTTACTGTAATGTTATAAGATTTCACTTTAAACTAATCTGATTTCATGAGGAGGTAATTAAAACTTGGCAAAAAAATATTTCTACTAAAGATCAAATTCAGGTAACTTAGGTTTAGGGCATAAATTACTTGAGTCCAATTTCTTGGTTAATTTGAGTTTATTTCAACACACTTCATATTTTCTTTTGTTTTTAATTTTAATTTATTGTTTATACTATAACTTATTATTAAGTATTTTATCAAGGAAAATGGCATTATCAAAACTAAGGATGCATTGTACGCTAGATAGGGAAGTCTTAGATTCCCTCTCCATTGTGGATAAAGAGATCACAATTAGGTGCTTTGTTAGGACGCTGTCAATCGCCGCATTTTATTTCAAAGTCATACATTTAGTTTCAACGCTCAAACGCATTAAAATTGCAAAAAATACTAATTGGATAACTTATTACATTTTTTCTCCATTTCATCTTCTTTTTTTTTTTAATCAAATCATATTTTAGATATAGAGGTATAAGACGGAAGAAACAAAAATATGAATAGGTATGATTTAATCTACGTAACTATTTGTTAACATATCAAGAGCACAGCAGTTAAACTAAAATTCAATATGCCCTTTATTGAGATGCTAGCGATATCTACTTTAATACAGTTTACTAAATATTTTCTTTTATTGAACATACATAAATAAAAACTGTAAAGTCTATAAAATTGATGGTTTTGATAAATTTTAATTAATAAAAAATAAGGATGTGTATGGTTTGGTTTCTTAAAATAAATCACACTGAACTACACCGTACTATTTTATTAAATTAATCTAATTTATGAACTATTTGAACCATATGTTGAAAATCAAACTACTTTTATAAACATTTTTAAAATTGGTTTTGAAATGATTTCAAAATCAAACTAATTTTAAATTGATTTTAAAAACTGAACAAATTTAAACTAATTTTTTTAAGAAAAAGTATTTTTTCAAAATTGTAAATAAAGTCATGATTAATACACTCTTTAGAAATAAATTAAAAAAATTTACCAATTAGCTCAAAGACTAATTAAGTAGACAAACACATCATATAAGGTAGAAAATTATTTATTTTATTAAAAAATATTTTTTAAAAGAATTTTTTTTACACAAATAAACTCATAGAAGTCAACTCAAAAGCATTGAATAACTATATTTTTATATGAAAAATTAATTATAAAACGTGATTTAAAAACTTACATTTACTTTAATGAGCTATAAAGACAATAAAAAAAAGTTAAATAAAATAATTGTAAACAATATTCAAATATTTTATACCATACTGTTAATCACTAAATTGTGAGATATAAAATATATAAATTAATTAATTTAATTTAATTATTTAAAAATGAAACACTAGTACATTATATCTAATTATTAATGCGATTTAATTTTTAAAATTCATTTGTGTAAATAATGTGGTTTATTTTTTTTTTTAAATTGGTTATAATTTTTTTAAATGGTGCATATCGTTTTCAAATTCAAACTGGTTGATTAGATTTTTTTCACAGCCCTAATAAAAAATAATCTAAGTTGAGTGTCACCTAGAATATAAGAATCACTCATCGTTGCCTTTATATTACAGTCATTTAGTAGAATAGATGTTTGATCCAAGCAATTCATTTCCGACTAAGGTAACCACAAAACAAATCAAAGATGCTCACGATCTTTCTCAAATTGCTGCAGTGCAAAATTAAATAAAGAACATACATATCACTTTCTCAAATTGCCTCAGTGCAAAATAAAAAATAAAAAAAAGAACATATATATATATATATCACCAACACCTGTATCATCCTAATATAAATGTTTTTTATCCGTCTACAAGAGATAACTTCAAATCAGATTCCACCAGTTTTCAGAATAGCACGTTTTTTTATGGTTATTCCAGATATTAATCAGGCTAAGTTGGAATCTGAAGTGCTAAATATATAGGACAACTATATTCCTTAAGTATCAAACAAGGTTCTGAAATGTGATTCTGTATAGGGAAAAAGTGAAACATGAGTGACTTGACATTCATCTGTGCCCCAGGTTACAAGGTAATAATATATGTGTATATAAAATTTGGACAGAAAAAATTAGAAACTAACTTGTTATAAACCTAAAATTGAATATAGTATTATTAAGACATTAGGTAAAATCCCAATGTCTCCACAATTTTTTGTTTATTGTCCACGTTTTCTAAAGTGTGATTCATCCACCAAGCATACTCAAAGTATTGGCCAAGTGGCAACCAAAGCAAGAAGCCCTAGAATCTGTTGATGTACAGCATCGTATCTGATCACGGTTCCTCTCACCATGGACCCCTCTTCATCATAAGATATGCACATTTGGTCCTAGAAGCCATCCTTCAAAGGAGAAATAGAACAAGCGTGTGTATGGATTTCAGTTTAAACAATGAAGTTTGGTCGATGCCTTGCTTGCATTCTCACTTTCTCTTAAATAAAAAAACATATCTACAATTATTAATTACAAATATTCCAATTCCTGATTCAGGAAATAAAATACAATAAATATATGCAATTAAATCCAAATTTATACTCAATAAAGTGGGAACAAATCTGAGTATAACAAAAACCAATCATAACAAATATTCTCATTAACACCCTCTACAAATTGCTGTTGATGATGAAGAAGCATCAATTTGCTATAGAGAAATTGATGACGAGGACGAGCAACAACTTTGGTGAAAATATGCGCAAGCTGAAACTGCAAGGTAATGTGCGGAAGATAAATAACATGATTTTCATGTCTCGAATAGAATGAAAATATGCAACTTCAATATATTTAGTGCGCTTGTGAAAATTTGTATTGGTAGCAATCGGAATTGCACTAATATTGTCGACATAGAGGGATGTAGTGGCTAACTAAGAGAAGCCAAGTTAAAGGCCATGAAGCTAAATTATTTGAGAAGAAGTTGTAGACATAGTTCCATACTCAAATTTAGTGGAAAACTTGGAGACACAATATATCTTGTTTTTACTTTTCCGAGAAATCAATGTCTTGGACTACGAAACGTGCACCAACTGGTAGCATACTTTTCCAAGAAATCAATGTCTTGGACTACGAAACGTGCACCAACTGGTAGTAAATCTCTTAGTATCTGGATAACCAACCCAATCAACATCACTATAACCAAACAAATTAAAAGATGTTTCAATAGGAAAGAATACACCTCCTTGAGAGGTACCTTTCAAGTATCGAATAATGCAATGAACAACAGCCAAATAAAGGTTACAAGGAGTGTGCATAAATTGGCTAACCTGTTGTAAAAAAAATGAGATATAAGGATGAGTAATTATCAAGTAATTAAGATTATCCACAAGTTGACGATACAACAAAGGACCAGGTAAAAGATTCCTTCATCACAATGATATTTAACAATAATAGGAATGACAATGAAGTATCATGGGAGCAAGTAGTAGGATATTTGTATTTATCCCGCCAGATAAAAATCCGTTCTATATCTGTGTGGATATTCGTTTAGCAGGTATCCATAAACATTGTAAATACTCGTGAGTATTCATGAATGTCCATAGATATTTGTGAATTATTTTAAAACTAAAAAAAATTGTAAATAATTTTAATTTTATATATGATGTTAAG